AACACTTGCATTTGTAACCCAAACAACGAAGTTCAAATCAGCTCCCACGAACTTCAGTGCTAGAGGCAAAATGCTTAGAGTTCAAATGGAAGTCGATACATACAGTTTTAACGCAAACCTGTCTGATCTAATGATCACGACTGTAATATATTGCAGTAGAACTCAAGTCACTAGTTCCATCTATTATCTGCTCGACCTTGGACGACAGAAGCAGTAACAGATCGATACTGCGATAGACATTCTATCACCCAGCGATCGGATACAAATATATCAAAAATGTTCATAGATGAGCCATCAGCTGTACATAATGCCACTTAAGCTAAAAGGAACAGAAAAAAAAGATTTTTGAAGGTCGCATTAAATCAGCTGATTAATGAAAGCCAAGAAAGACAGTTTTATGTCTTCTTTTTATTTTTATTCTCCTCCTCCTTCTCCTTTTATTTCATCAATATGTTGCTTGTGGAGTTGACGTAACGCTATTCTGCGCCTCCATTCCATTACCTCCGTTAGGCTTTCTTATCACATTCTGTGTCATTTAGCACCTAATGTATAGAAAGGTAAAGGTAGCTACGTGGTCTCGAGGTATGGTGTCCGCCTCGAGTCCCGGGTTCAAGCCCCGTTGAAGGCTGGGATTGTTTCTGTTCACGTGGACTTCTAGTAATTTCCCCTGGTCTCTGGGTAGTGAGATCGGAAGCCCGTGTGTATTGCTGCGCACGTAAAAATAACAATGCATTACATTTGGAAATCGAAAAGAGTAGCCTAACGACGCAGCCCGGGCAAAATTTTAAATTTAAAAAAAAAAAAATATTTCAGGATCTTTACCGGCGCTACGTCAGTAGCATGGCCCTTCGGTTGGAGCTGGTCGTCCTTGAACGGTGGTTATGTCACAACAGGCTGGGTAGAAGTGAAGTCAAAACTTTCGTTTGCGCTTGAAATGGGAGTGGGAATATTTTGTACACGCTACCGCTACCTAGGAGTAAAAATATATAGTCATACCTATCATGGATATGTCAGGAAGGAGGGGCAGGGGCCGACTGACACGAAGATGGGCAAGGATATAAGTGACTCATTGAGTATAAAAGTACATGAGGCGGGAGAGCTGGCGCGAAACCAAGTTTCTTTCAGGCAGACCGTGATGACAGCGACGTTCTGCAAAGGACCAGGAATTGTGGTTGGTGGTTTTAGCGTGAACAACATAAATGCTTAGAATTCAGTGGTCTGCTAAAAAGAGCTACCCAGATGTTCCGAAAGGTCTCAAAGACAACTTATCACAATCATCAGAAAGCGACAAGTCACCAATTTTGTTATATGCGAGATGAGGGAAACTGGGGCATGTTGTGACCACTAGAAAGAGAGACAGAAAAAGAGAGACAGAGAAAGAGAGACAGAGAAAGAGAGACAGAGAAAGAGAGACATAGAAAGAGAGACAGAGAAAGAGAGACAGAGAAAGAGAGACAGAGAAAGAGAGACAGAGAGACAGAGAAAGAGAGACAGAGAAAGAGAGACAGAGAAAGAGAGACAGAGAAAGAGAGACAGAGAAAGAGAGACAGAGAAAGAGAGACAGAGAAAGAGAAACAGAGGAAGGCAGCACGAGAAGATTCTTGACAGCCTTTTGTCGTGGGTGGATGGGTGTCAATACAAGAACTGAAACACGCAGTTGCGGATCGCAGAGAGCGTAGCGGCATGATCGTCCACGCCAATCCGCAGGATATTTGACTTTGTACTTAGGAATCATCATCATCATTATAAACCACTTCAGCCGTTAAGCGCCGTGGGGAGGAATAATTTGCGGTCCAGTGCACGCTGGCTATAACTGGCTATTGTCATGCCGTTAAGGCGTAGAATGTTGTCGATCCATTTTATTCGCCGCCGTCCTCTTGATCTTGTATCTAATTTTATGATGAACGGGGCATGCAAGCTGACCTCTTAATGGCCTTTGCCAAATAATGATATTTTGGCATGGGCTTCTCACAGCTACGCATGCTGTTAATGGGTTGGGTTTAAGTTAGTCTCCACAAACAAAGTAGGTCACGTTTTAGTCACAAATTTGTTGGGCTGGTTTACTCTCCTGCAGGTTACGGGTGGGAAGCTCAGTTGTTTGCTTTCTGGGTTGTCTTGCATTTACGTTTTTATTCCGAGACAGAGAATGCATAAGACATAGGTTGCAGCACTCTCTAGGGGGTTGTGTTAGACCCGGTTTGTCCATTTTTTTTTGGAATGTCAAAAGCGCTGACGTGCTGGCATATTCAACACACGATATTAACGGAATTGCGGAACACCCCCGTAACCTTGTACCAAGTCAAGGTCTACCATCAGAAGTGAGCTAGTGTGTATACGGGCGTGATCTGGGGAGCTAAACATTACTTTTACCCAGTTAATATACGGAAATAATTATTATCAACCGCCTTCCTGTAGCAAACAGCCAGCTTTGGTTGGTTTGCGAACTCTTGTAAACGGTAGGCGATTGACTCTTGATAAACTTGTTTCATCATCCTGGTCGTCCGGTAGTCTTAATTTCAGCTTCATGGCAAACGGGTCACCACATATTTGCTCCGCTCCTGTGCCAACGAAAAAAACACAGAATGTCCATCACTGTCACTTGTGAGAAAATTGACACAGACCGCAGTTTCAGCATATCTCCTAGAATACACTCAAAATAAAAGCTTAAGGCAGCCATCAGAAGTGCTAACACAAACAGTACGACATTAGAAATGCTGTTCGTCAGCGACGGAAGCAGCAGTTACAAGCCGATCAGTAGTTGCACACGCGCATCAGTTTTAATCACCTAAGGCACCGCCAACAGCTCACTCGCCATTTTCTAAATCTACAGTTCACAACACCACGTTGGTCACATTCTAAATAGCACCTGCAGCTCACTGTGTCTCGCTTTGCGCCCAGCTCAGTAAGCTTGGAGACAAAACTGTATCCTAAACCCTACAAATTGAGGAAAATTCAACCGTCTGTCAGAAGTATAAATATACCACGTCTAAAAACAGTGAACATGCCTATCCTTCATTGTAACTGGAACTGTTATTATCCTAATCATTTTCATCCGTTTGTGCCATTTTATGTCACACAGGGCTCGCTGACTATGTGTTTAGCTAGAATTGCAATTACAAATTCACAAGCCCTCTAGTAGTTGAATATTTTTATCTGTATCTAAACACTAGCGCTTGAAGCATGTGATCTGAAAACGTCACTGCGATGATGGATAGGGTGTTCAGCCATGTGAGAGAAATCATACTTCTTGGCGACTTACAGTCGATACTCAAAAATCAAAAAACTTGTGCGAAAGTATGGGTACTTCATAAATTCTCTAACAGATAGTCAACCAAGTTACTAGAGTAACAAAAACAAAAACAGTCAAAACTTATAAATCATATTTATGCAACATGTCCGCTGATATCATAAAATGCACGGTACTCCCAACTGCAGTTAACGATCACTACCCAGTATGTTGCACTTTGTCCTAAAGGTTCACGATACGTCGGGGTGGGGGGGGGGGGGGGGGGATTGTGTATTTAAAAATTTAGACAATTCTGTTATGGTCGTTTTTAGCGATACATGGTGCTACATTCGTACACTAATTGTAAACCAAATCGTGGTTGCCATGGCAGTTTCAGAAATAAACGTAGCTAGTGAGGAACAACTTATTGATTCCTGAACTTTAATCATAATTTGGCGCAATAAACTATTTTATTACAAAACTTTCTAAAATTCTTTTTATGAAAACACTAGAAGAAACATTAGATAGTTGTTCTACACTTTCCACAACCACAACCACATAGAATATAGCTTAACAATATTGATTAGCTGTTAAGACGACTTAAAGCACTCCAACGAGGGGCTGTGCACTCAATAACTGTCACGGAAGAGACTGTTCCAACCTGTTTAGAAATCTTATACTATTATGACTCCAAAAATTCTTATTTTTCATTAAGGCTACAAATATTTAACAAATCTTATCCCAAAATTCTCAAGGTTACCGTGGGCCATTGTTTAAATATAATGGAAGACACAGTAAACGTTTTAACGTATTAATATCTCTAAACCTAGAATATATCTGTTCATAATAAACTAAGTATACTCTTCAGTTCATCTGTAGAATCATCTTTCACAGCGAATAAAAATACCACGAACGTCTATACACACAGTTGGAAACTAGTTGATAATTAGCTCACTGTAGACAACATGCCCTATCGTAAGATAATAGTATCCTAAGTATTCCGGTATATTCCCCTTGGATTTATTAGTTTGTACTAAAAACTTTTATTGTTTTTAAAACATGTTTTTAAAATGTGTATATTCAAGCACAATCCGGTTTTGAAATTAACTTTTAATTGTTGATATGATGTGTTTTATTACATATTAGATGTATAATATTTGAGACTAAATTATTACTGTACTAAAAACTATGTTTGTTTGGTAATGCCAGTGTAACTAGAGCACACTTCAACCTTTATAATTAAGACTTAGATGTCGCTGTGAATGTTTTATATTATCTGTTAAATAATGAATGAATGAATAACTGTGTGTAAGTAATAAGACTAAAAGGGCAGAATGTTAGAACGGTCCTCATGTCCTATTTCTTACCCTTTGTAAATAAAATTTCATGGTTCTTTTATTCATACTCAAACTCACAACTGGGGCTCCTAAAAATCGCTCCACGAACTAGACTTGGCACGCATGCAGTAGTTTATGACGTCTGTTTCTAGTCTGAGACGATGTCATGGAGAAAGATAATCTAAACGTATCCAGAAAAGAAAGGACTGTGCTCTGTGGAAATCTTACAAGGCGCATGATGGTAGTGATGGTAATATACTGTTCGCATAAATACTTTAGAAAACATGAGCATTGATTGAACTCGCTGCCATGTACACATCCTGCGAGTTTCTATTCTAATCCTAGCTCCAAGTGGAGACCATACCATCCACTAAGAGATTTATGTTATATCCATCAAAAAGCCAAAGAAATCATTCAGTGTTTCTACTTTCATTTAGTGTGCACGGTTTGTGACGAAACCCAGTATGTGGCAGCGGAGTGTAATACACGCAGGGATACAATCTGCTTTGGTAAGTGTCGCCACCCAGTTTTAGTTGTCAGTAGCAATTTAATTATTACATAATTCAGTAAATATTGATGGGCACGTGTATCGGTGGATAAAAGAAGTTAAGGTAGCAAAAACGAACACATTGAAAAAGTGATTTTTTTGTCATAAAATGGAAAAAAATGCCGTGTAGTGACCTCTTAATGTACAGCAACAAACCCAAAAGATGTGAACAGGACAATAACTCAAGTACTAATGGCACAGAATGCATAAATGTGTACAAGAAAAGAATTAAACAAGGGAAGAATACGCTAAAAAAGTCAGTAAACCCTTTATATCCCAACTATAACACTCAAGGTCGAACAGGGCTTTTGTTATGTGTAAATTACAACTTTTCTACCTATCAGAAAAGTTGTCAGAAAGTTTTCAATTGCAAATGTATCGATGAGACCACACTCTAACTCATTGTCTCCTAAACTTGTTTATGCCACGCCCCAATTAGCCTTTCTCAAATTCGAATGCAACCAGTGTCACTCAAAATTCTGAACGAGTCCATTTTCGAATTGCTCCCTTAACAATCAAACTGCCTCCCCCCCCCCCCCCTCCCCCACGTTGGGAAACACTACTCTAATCTATCGACCGTGTGACAAATTGAATAGGACACTTCCAATCTGGCAAACTTAGCTACCGAGTCTATTTGAGATGACGGCCATTGCACGCCTGAATCAAACATGATCACGTCTTTTATACATCTCGCGACCAAACGGAGAATGTTGGTGGGCACGCAACGTACGTTTGCCTGTGAAACGGCTATTTTTCGTAGCAGGATGTGGACATGGGCACATATAAACAGGCGTTTTCGCTAAAGAGTTGTAGCGCAACAACCTACTTAATTTCAAGTTTATAGTTCTTCTTCTCCTCCTCCTCCTTCTTTTTATATTTATAATTACTACTATTACGACAGCCGCCGTAGTGTAGCGGCTGCACGCTCGCCTGCGGATCAAAAGGTCGTGAGTTTGGATCCTGACGCAACCAGACTTTCTGTTTCAGAAATGACCTTGGCTCTCTGGTCGACCCAGCCTTAAAGGGGTACCAGGTACAGTCCTGGGAAATAAAGGCGGCCGGTAAGATGCTGACCACATCATCCAGCCAGTGCCGATTAGTCTATAAAATATAGGTCTAGACCTGTATGCATAAAACACCTGAATGTGTGGAAGAGGGTCAATTACTTTACTATTATTATTTTTCTACTCCGTCTGCCTTTTATGTCCTAATGGAGCATCAGTTCTCGAACAGCTAGTGCCAAGTCGTCCCATCCTTTCCTAGTTCTTCAAACCCACGTTATGGCTTCTCTGTTGTGTCTCATAAACTCTTATCCAATCCTGTCGCCCCCACCCCTCCCCACCCACCCCACCCCCCACCCCTCCCCTTCCCACTCCTTTTTTCATTCTGTTGATTACAGTGCTAGGTCATTATAGTTTTCGAAGTAGTTAGTAATAGTAGTAGTAGCAGTAGTAGTAGCAGCCGTATAGTAGTAGTGTGTGATGGTGGAGGGCGTATGCTCCACTGGGGTTAACTCTTCGAGTCCCAGGGGGTTAAGCATCAGAGACCCAAGGGATAGTAAAGAGACATGTATAGTCAGCGCATAGTACGTTGACTCGGCTTCTAGTTTGGAACCTATGAACGTATAATGCGTTCCTTCGGACCGAAGGAGTTAAAGGACAGGGAAAGAATAGAATTGTAAAAGCGCAAAACTGCATACTGTAAAGAATGTCTGTCTTCTTGTTACTGGACCTAGTGCTTTGTAAACTAATTCAATATCAGGCGATCCAGCCATACACCGGACAGTCCACTCTGAACTCGGGTACTATTCTGATTGAATGACCAACTAAATATCAAAATAAGTAAAGTGAAGGTTCTTTTTTCCACGCTATTTTAGGGCTAGAACAATATTTTTAAAGACAAATCGGCACTTGGTGGGTGATGATGTCAGCATCATGTCGGTCGCTTTTACTTCCATAGTACCGAGCCTAAAGCTTAACAACACATGGCTTCTGAATACTAAAACAAACAAAACAAACAAACAAAGCTGTATGCCAAAGTTTATTAATTTATCTCTACTAGTTAAGAAATGCGAGTCGCCGTGGCGGAGCAGCTAGACGCTGGCCTGTGGATCGGAAGGTCGTGGATTCGCTTCCTGGCGAAGCCAAACTTTTTTTTTTTTAAATGACCTTGGCTCCCAGGTCGACTCAGCCTTGAGTAGATACTGGGTGCTTTCCCGGAAAGTAAAGGCGGCCGGCTGACCACATCACCCATCTTGTGCCGATTGGTCTAAAAAATATAGGTCTAGCCCTATATGCCTTATACGTCTAAAGGCGCTTTAAAGGATGTTTTACTCCGTTTTTAACTAGTTTAGAAATAATCATTTTTTTTTTAAATAGTTACACCCAGCGAATTCAGGCAAAGTTTTCCGGCAGTTTTAAAAGAGAATAATTGTACTTACTAGGCATGAATGTGCTAATGCCCTCCCGGTCAGTCTGGCGGTCTTTTCTGATGGGCTTGCCTGCGATCTCTAGTAAGACTACTCTTGTCCTAACAATTCTGGCTTTATTGTTTCTGGGATTTTCTGTCAAATGATGACGTTGAGCAACCAACATACACCCATTCATTTTCAAAATAAATTATGTTGATCAGATTGTAAATTTTTAAAATGCATATGAAAATAGACAAATTCATCTACAGGGCTAGCGGCGTAGAATGTATTAAGACAAAAAAATGATATTTTTCAAATGTTTAGGTATTACTGACCCGTTATCAAATATAGCAAATGCATATCAAACAGGATGTATAACAAACAGGTCGTATACCAGACAGGACGTATTCCTAATACGGCGTATACTAAACAGGATGTATACCAAATAGGTCGTATACCAGACAGGACGTATACCTAATAAGACGTATACCAAACAGGACGTATACCAGACAGGGCGTATACCAAACAGGACGTATACCAGACAGGACGTATACCAGACAGGACGTATACCAGACAGGACGTATACCAACAAGATGTATACCAAACAAATTGTCCATTAAGAAATAAATGGAGAGTGATAATTCAGTTCCTATGGTATATCATATACTGGTGGGGTTGTCATAAATGAAAAACCCGCATACTGCCTAATATTAAAATACATAAACACTAAAGCAATTAGACAAATTTAATGAAAACTCAACCTCACTTTACCTTCCTGAGAAGATCCGAAGGTACTGAGGAGAAGGAGGAGGAGATATTTATGTATGGGAGAGTCTCCTTTTTTTTCCCTCTCTTTTTTTCGCTACTTGGACCTGGTTGAGGTTCAACCTGTTTGAGTGTTTCTAAAATATGCTCAGAGAACTTTGCTTCTGCAAATTCATTATCTAGTCATTCCCGACAACGCTATTACGGTTTGTTGGGTTTTTCCTGGCGTGATACTTCTCCGCACAAGTCGGGGCTTTGTCTCTCGAGAGAGGTTAAATAAAGATAGTGCGCTATGTTCTAATTTTGACTCACACAAATTCGTATTCCAAACTGAAGTCGTACACCAAGTAAACGTTTTCGCGTCTAAACAGGACGTATACCAAGTTGAACGTATGTCAAAGCGAACGTTTACCGTGGTTTTAGGGTATGCTATTTTTAATAGTCATTCATTACAAAATAATACTAATAACTATTTTTATTATTATCATTACTCACTCAAAGCCCTTTGGGAGCCACCGTGGCGTTGCGGTTAGAGGCACTGAAGGTCTAGGTTCATATCTGAAAGGAGCTGGTTAAAAAAAAGAGGGGGGGGGGGTGCAATGCTAACAAGAAGGGATAAGAAAAAAGCAAGTATATATAGAAGAATAAGAGGGTCGGGAGGAGGAAGAAATAAAATATGGTGTAGAGAGACGGTTAGTTTAAAATACCAATAAATCGTCTTCATCAAACTGTCCATACCGCAACCAAGTTTAAGAACCGTTTGCTGTATAAGGAAGACGAATTCTGCTTTAAAGCAATCGCAAGTGGGGAGTTGTGATGTTAACTCTTTCGTTCCCAAGGAACGCATTATACGTTCATAGTTTCCAAACTAGAAGCCCAGTGAACGCACTGTGCGCTGATTATAAATATCTCTTTACTATCCCTTGGGTCTCTGATGCTTAACCCCCTAGGACTCGAAGAGTTAATTTCCCCGTCTGGCACACTGACAGAGTTGGAAATAAATGTTGCTCGTTGCGGATATTTACAGTTGATCACAGACAACACTTGATAATGTGTGTGCAGTTACTTTCATATTCGTCCCAAGGTATGCCGGCGTTGTTGGTAATGAGAGAGCTGAGAGACTGGCAGGTGCTGCATTAATTGAAGATGGCCGGCCCATGGATCACGCAGACATTGTCATTGTCCTTAGAGAGATAGGACGTTCTGAGAATTTTTTAAGCAACGTGCCCACATCACTGCTAAGAATACGCGAATTGGCAGTAAAGATCGACACAGACAAGCATGAGAAGCACACCTGGACGCACACGAAGTCTTGTTAACCAGCATAGGACTACTACTAATAACTGCACGATGCTGATGAATATGCTAGGAGGGGAATCTGAGCGCCTGTGGATGTGTCCGGAGTGCTGTGAAGATAATCTAACTCATAACTCACAACTTAATACTGTTCATATTGTTATCTTCCTCAGATGCTTCATATCCAATGGGGATTATTCCCATGAACCAGTCTCATTTGCCAGATGGTAAGTAAAGTCTCCCAGGTCGACCCAGCCTAAAGCAGGTACATGGATATAGGCTTGGAGGTAAAGGCGGCCTAAAAAATATGGGCCTAGCACTATATGGCCAATCTCTCTCTTGCGTGGAAATGGTGTTTTACTAAAGTCTGCACACAATTATGTATTGTCATAAATAGGTATCTACAAATACGTGTGTCCCTCTGTCTGTTTAAATAGTGTTCAAAGAAAAGAGGTTAGAATAATTAAATCCAATCCAATGCTTTGCTGAAAGAAAGAAAAAATCGTCACCTTCAACCAGTATCCCCGAAGGGGAGCTTTAGGTTATAATTGTGACTAGGTTAAGTGTGCCAAATAAAATGGCTATTAGCATTGCACACCACCAAGGGCCCTCGAAAGGACTCGTGCAGTGTTGATCCGATCAAAGGAGACAGACCCAAATACTGTCCCGACCGGTGACGAAGTCGTCTACCGGCGAGCCAATGGGTAGCTGATAGGTGGAAAAACTTGAACGGGGTGTATATAAGTGGCTGCGGCAAAGATTCCCCAGAGATATCCGTAAAAACTGCACTCCTGAAGTAAACGAGGCTTCCGGGAAAGAACCCATGCCCACCAGAAAGTAAGTCGTTAAAATCTTTGACGGTGCGACTCTCGTGCCAGTGTTTTTAATCAGTGAGAGCGGAGGTGTTTTTTTTTTTTTTTTTTTTTTTTTTAATGAAATAAAATCCGTCTTCCGCGCATATCAAACTGTAGTTCTCGAGAATCATTAAACTGTTAAACGCATTTAGTAAACAAAACGAGTACTGAAATGTTACATCGAGCCTGTTCTGTTGTATGGCAGTGAATCATGGAATAAAAACAAACAATTTTTTTTAAAGTTTGGAGGCAGCTGAGAAGAATGTTCAGAATACCGTGGACTGCCAGAATAACTAACAATGATTGCCTGGAAATGGCTAATGAAAGTAGAACATTATATACAACAAGGAAAATGAGACAAAGTTCTTTGGTCATGTGATGAGAAAAGGAGCACTAGAAAATATGACGACTGGAAAGATCACTGGTAGCAGAGGCAGACAGAAATAATGGTGGATGGCTTAAGACAATGGCATGGAGGAATATCATCAGTGGAATTGACCCAAAACACCAATGACCGAGATCTGTGAAGTTACATGAACGCCTACGCCAGCTGGCATAGCACTTGATAAGAATGTTGATTTAGTAACCTACGAAGCAACTAAAGCCACACATCCTGCCTTGGAATACAGACCTCCACAGCTGATATGCCCTGCGACAAGTGTGGATTGCAGATGTATCACCTAGGAAAAACAATGATAGGAGAACATAGATGCTGGAAAAGGCTCTAGCCATTCGACACATGGGTGAACCGAGGGAGAGAATACTTGATAAGATTATGTTTAAGAGATGATGGTTAGAGGTGCTGCAGCTTTCCATGCATACAGAAAATTATTGGCTATGAGGGGACCGATACCTGATAATATTGTCAGCCTAAGACTATTAGGTAATAATTGGTAAGTACAAAGAAAACATACACAGCGAAATTCTACATCGAAGTAAATTGGACAAACCTCAAGCAAGTAAATACTTGGGGACCTAGATAACATCAAATGAAGGATATATTAAAGAAGTTGAATGTAGAATAGCTCAAGCAACGGCAGCATTTGACAACATGAAAAATATTTTATGCAATCTTTCTTTGTCAGTTAAGGGGGGGGGGGGGGGAATTCTTAAAAGCTATATGAATCCTATCTTGATATACGGAAGCGAATCATGGACAGTTGGTAGATTAGAAAAATTATCTTGCAGCGGAGATATGAATTTATAGACGAATTGTGAGAATACACTGGACGGATAAAAAGAGAAAAGAAGAGGTCTTGAAAGAAACTGACTCACGAAGAGAATTGATTGATCACATCAGAAAAGGGACGATCTTCATTTTTTGATCATATGATGGGAAGGAGAAAACAGGAATACATCGTAACAGCAGGAAAGCTAGAGGGGAAGATAAGCAGAGGAAGAAGGAGAGAAAAGATGCTGGAAAGTTTAACATTATGGCATAAAGGATCATCTGTAGCAGAATTGTTTGAAAGTTCACGAGACAGATAGTGTGGATAGTCATGACTGCTAACGCTACACAGCATGAACTTCACAGGAAGAAGAAGACAGTTAATTGTATTGATAAAAAAAAATGTTTCCCCACACTGCAAGACTCTTTGAAACACGGGAGAAAAGAGAGGGGGGGAGGGTTTACACAGAAGGGAGACATGTAAGACAAACGAGCAAAAGGTAGACAGTGTTACAAGTGGCAAGATAAGATCAAGTTATGGATGAGCAGCAAGCTGTTAAAATGTACTCCCGGGGCAAGAGATACACAGCATTAGAGATTCGTTGAAGCCAACCTTCTTTGAGTAGGCGGTATCTGAAGGGTTAACTGACAATTTAGTTAATTAATATATTGATTGATTGATTGATCGATCTGTTGCCTAGTTAATTTGTTGTTATTTTCAACCTAAAACATGTCTGCTTCACAATAAATTAAGGCAGTTATAGTCTTTGAATGCTTGATGAGAATATTTACGGAGGAAGGCAGGCTTGAAAGAGGGATAGAAGCCCGAGTACAGAAGGCAAGTACTGTCACCTCCCAGTTATCCCCCTGCTTAGACACCCAAATGTCTTCCTTGCAGAAAAATAGCAAATGATTAATAGCATCTGTTTCCCTACTTTAGAATATCAGTGCCAAATTTGGACAATGAATAATGAACAAGAACAGAACATAACTACACGTGAAATGCGCTCTCTTCGCAAGATGTCACTAACCTAATGTAGAATGCCAGCATTACATGTTACGAATTCAGCGCCTTTATCGGTTAGAGAGAAAGCACGGAAATAAGAACCATGTCTGGATCTTCATGACAGACAAAGAATGAAATGGTTCGAAACAGCATCTAGTAACAATCAGCAGAGCCAGACCAGACTGCAAATGATACTTTTTAGCGGTAGAATCTCGGACTGGGAGGTAGGGATTACCAGAAGACAAAGAAAGAGATGCCCCTAAATGGTGTAGATAAAACCTGCAAAAAGTTTAATAAATCCTCACACTCAGGTGAGCGATTGTTTGAAGCGCAAGACAAATACAGAAACCGCGACACTGGGTTATTTACGCTGGTATCAGTGAGATGACAAAATATAAGAAGAAATTATATATATATATTTTATATATCTTGTCGCCAGACCTAATGTAGTATGCCTAGCATTACATGTGATGACTTCAGCGCCTTTATCGGTGTTGTTTCAGACGGCACGGAAATCTCCGTGAACCACTCTTCCAACGTCTTCATGGAGCGTTTAGTCAACATGGACGCCTTAGAAACAGCCATGTATGTGACTAACAATCAGCAGAGCTTGGACTTCGCCTGGCCTCGAACCTCTGGTCTGGACATAGCGGTCAGTATCTCGGACGTCTACCTGGTCCCAGATTACCACGACATGGAGGCCGTGGACGATACGGCCTTGTTTCACCGGTTGTCTGACCCCAGTCAGAAGAGCAGGTTTTACTATAATCACGTTCAGTCTCACTACTGTAGGTGAGCGATTGTTTGTTCTTGATGGGTTGTAGTTACATACACAGCATGTTTGTCTGTTTATCTAAGTCCCCCTGTACTTTAAAAGGTTGATCTTAAACAAAAGTCCTTCCGTACTTTAAAAGGTTGATCTTAAACAAAGTCCCCCTGTACTTTAGAAGGTTGATCTTAAACAAAAGTCCTTCCGTACTTTAAAAGGTTGATCTTAAACAAAAGTCCTCCTGAACTTTAAAAGGTTGACCTTAAACAAAAGTCCTCCTGAACTTTAAAAGGCTGATCCCAAACAATCGCCCTCCTTTACTTTAGAAGGTTCATCCTAAATATTAGTCCACCCATCCTTTAGAAGGTTGATCCCAAACAATGGTCCACCCGTTTTTTTAGCAGTTTGATCTTAAACAATAGTTTACACGTCTTTTAGAAGGTAGATGTCAAACAATAATTACGCATAACTTTAGAAAGTTGATCCTAAACAACAGTTCTCCTGACCTTTAGAAGATTGATGTTAAACAAAAGTTGTACAGAATTTTAGAAAGTTGATCCTAAATAAAAGTTCTCCTGTCCTTTAGAAGGTTGATCCCAAACAAAAGTTACACAGAACTTTAAAAAGTTGATTCTAAACAATAGTTCTCCTGTCCTTTAGAAGGTTGATGTCAAACAAAAGTTACACAGAATTTTAGAAAGTTGATCCTAAACAAAAGTCCTTCTGTCCTTTAGAAGGTTGATCACAAACAATGCACCCCCACCCCCACCTCCGTTCTTAAGAAGGTGGGTCCCAAACAACGTTAGAGGGTTGATGGGAAACAACAAGCCTCCTGTCCTTTAGAAGGTTGATCCCAAACAATATTCCTCAAGTACCTTAGAAGTTTTATTCTAAACCATGCGCCCCTACCCCCACCTCCGTTCTTTAGAAGGTGAGTCCCAAACAACTTTAGAGGGTTGATGGGAAACAACAACCCTCCTGTCCTTTAGAAGGTTGATCCCAAACAATATTCCTCAAGTACCTTAGAAGTTTTATTCTAAAACATGCGCCCCTACCCCCACCTCCGTTCTTTAGAAGGTGGGTCCCAAACAACTTTAGAGGGTTGATGGGAAACAACAACCCTCCTATCCTTTAGAAGACTGATTCCAAAAACCGATCATCCCAACTGTTAAACTTCAAACAATAGTACAGTCTTGTAGAGGATGCTTTCACAACCGGACTCTCCTGGAACTCCCACAGGCACCCTCTACCAGACTACTACTCTATACAGATGGAGCTGATCGCCAACAGAACCTCCACTGCCCAGGTGGTCAGATGCGACTCCCAGGATGAGTCCGTGACCAGATGCCCTGGTCACTTCAAAGACGGGGATCGATACCTCAAGTGGAACATTAACTCACCTTGCCCTAGTTACATGGTTTGTCCTTTGTATTTCTTGAATTATTGCATTTTATTGTATTAGAGGATACTAAACCGGGCTAATATAAAGCAAGTTAATTTCTAATATCAAGGTTATCAATCAAGCCCTATTACAGGTTTTTGAAAACAGAGTCATACGATGAATATTTGGACCCATCAAAGAAGCAAAAAGCAGTAAATGGAGAGTGAGAAGCAACAACGAAATTCGTAATGTGTTTAAATCACCCCTCATCACTGGCATCATGAGAGCTAATAGACTGAAATGATTGGGGCATATTGAAAGAAAGTCAGATGACAGAAAATGAAAACTGTATACACAAGGGAGATAAATGGTCTTGACCACGAGGCAGACCAAGAAGACGATGGAGAGATAATGTCCAGACAGACCTGCAACCACTTGGTGTCACTAACTGGAAAAAGAAAGCAAACCAGAGAGATGAATAGAGGCGGGTGATATCTGCAGCAATGAACCTCAAGGGCTCGGAACGTTGAAGAAGAAGAAGAGGAAGATTATTAATCAATTCCTCCTTGTGTAGTACTGTTGAAAATATAACATTTGATAATTCGTAATTTTAATAAGTTAATATTTCTCAAAATATTATTATTTTGTTATTGATCTTTTTTTTTCTCTTTGCTATTCTCATTTTTTTTCTTTTTTTCTTCTGGGGTCGATTATAACGTATCTAAGATATGCGACTATCTAACCATTGATAAACTTACAATTTGTATTTCTAATGTCAAATTAGTACTGTTGTATGGAGTGGAAACATAAAGAATATCTAAGGCAATTACTGATGAACTACAGACATTCGGTAACTGCGCAGAATAGAGGGAATTAATTGGTAAAATAGAATCACTAATGCTGAGCTTTGGGAGAGAACTAAATATGCTCCAATTGACCAAGGGGTGGAGAAAAGACGCTAGCGCTGGACGTGACACATGTTAAGAATACATGAGAACAATATAACTAGAATTTCTTAGCACTAGAAACCGTAGGGGAGAGAAATAAAAAATAACTTTAAAAAAAAAACAAAAAAAAACATGGAGATAGGGGCTACAGAGTAAAGTTAAAATGATTGGGAGGACATGGGGAAAGCTACATGCTTTGACGAAGGATAGAACGATTTGGGATGCGCTGTTGAGCGTCTATGCTCCACTGGGGGTTAGAAAAGCAAAAGAAGAGGAAGAAAGGAGAAATGTGTTCTAGTTACTAGATACTAAATTGTGCCACTATAACTGTTATTTCTTTGCTACACTGCAGACGACCAAACTGGCTCCACTAAAGGATGGTCCAAACAGCGTGGTGTGTACAGAAGAGACGGACATACTTCGCCAGGTTTTCCACCGTTCCCGCCCAACAACTCAGGAGTACATGTTCCCTTCCAGAGAGTGTGAGCTATACAGGCAGAAGTGTGACCAGTGTCTGAAATCTTCCACGTGCCCCTCAAACAGTACCAGCCGCCTCGACCGTAAGTGTGAATGGTCACCATCATTTAGCAGCTCTTGTTTTACTCGTAACCAGTAACAGTTTATCTTTAGACTCCGCACAGTACATTAAATATTAAGTAAGGCAAAGGACCTTTTTCACGCCTTCAGGCATATTGGGCATATAGGGCTAGACCTATGTTTTGTAGACCAGTCGGCACTTGGTGGGGGATTTGGTCAACATCACACCAGCCTCTTTTAACACTTTAACTATTGCTTGTTCAAAAGACTAAAGATATTAGACACCTGAAAGTTGATTTGTGGAACTGCTAAGCTGAAAGCTAAATACATCAAAAGTGTCTAACAAAAGCAGAGTAAAGACAGTTACTCTGGTCTACATCTACTCTGTACGAGAAGAAGAAGAAGAAGAAGGAGCAGCAGCAGCAGCAGCAGCAGCAGTAGTAGTAGTAGTAGTAGTAGTAGTAGTAGTAGTAGTAGTAGTAGTAGTAGTAGTAGTAGTAGTAGTAGTAGTAGTAGTAGTAGTAGTAGTAGTAGTAGTAGTAGTAGTAGTAGTAGTAGTAAAAGTATTAGTAGTATGAGAAAGAGTTGTAGGTAGAAGACGAAGAAGAAGATAAGGATAGAGAGGTGGGAGAGAAAGGAGATGAAAATGTCATTGTCACCGATTTTTTAATTTAAGCCTGCTTTTTGTGCGTGCGTGCGGGAATTCTTTTCCCTGATGGGACAGAGCACTTGAGCAATAGTGCTTTCACTGAAATCTGAAATGTTATACTTGATAAATTAATGAATTTGAAACCGTGTCGTAAAAATCCAGTGGTCACTACGTGCAAATTATTTTTATTTGCACTTCGCGAAAGGACACGTCAATGAATTTTTGTTTATTATTTACATGTTTACATTATAAAAGCGTAGGAATTTGAAAATAATATAGCATGGCTACTTTATGACTTACATTGACATTTATGTTCCAGATGAATGGGTAGATATTCACAGTACCTACCTTTAATGGGGAACTGCGCTGGCGTAGCGGCTAGAACCTCGCCTGGGACCCGAAAGTCATTGGTTCAGCTCCACAATTTTTTCTCTAAAACTGACCTTGTCTCCCAAGTCGACCTAGCCTAATATGGGTATTGGGTAAAGTCCGGGAAAGTAAAGGCAGTCGGCGTGATATTGACCACATCACTTACCTTGTTCCAGTTGCTATATATAAATATAGGCCTTGCATTATATACCCTAAAATGCCAAAGGGTGTTGAAAAAGGATATATATCCACATTTGGTGGGCGAACCGCGGTAACTCAGTTGCTAGACGATTGCCTGCTGCTCTGAAGATCTTAGATTCGAAGCCGAATTTCACATTGACCAAGTAGTCCGTACATCCATATCATCCACCGAATGCCGAGTGGTCAATACATCCACATTGTTCACCGTATGCCGAGTGGTCCATACGTTCACATCATCCACTGAATGCCGAGTGGTCCATACATTCACATCATCCACCGAGTGCCGAGTGGTCCATATAAATATAAGTCTGGCATCGTGGACTTCACCACACATACTCTAATTTTAGACATGAAGGGATTGGCGAGGACAGGATTTCCTACAGAAACCCTAAAAGGGTCACAAATTAGGCAACCATTGGGTTGAAAGGGTCGCTTGGCAGTGGGGTTGTTTTTTTTTCAGTGCTTTTGAAAGGTTAATTTTAGACTTTGGCTATATATGAATCACACACACGTGCCTGTTTCTGCAGCACACCAGGTTGAAGGCCAATGCTGCGGGATTCACTGTTACTGGCAGACGTTTTGTAAGAAAACATTCAGTCCAGACTGCCCACTTCCATCGGTGGAATGTGCTACAGGTTTGTCTGTCTCATCATTTATTTGGCATATTGTATTCCACGAGTTCGTTATGTTGCCTTGAAGTGATAATGATTTTGTCCCTTTAATCTTAACACGCTAGCTTTGATCTGTAGTCGGAGAAGCGGGGCAATTGTGCTGCCCAAAAAAATAGTAAAGGTATAATCAACAAGTTATAGTGCAGAATTCGTTATCTAAATGTGCAATTATAGTACAGAATTCGTTTTCTAAATGTGCAACTATTGTACAGAATTCGGTGCAACTATTGTACAGAATTCGTTATCTAAACTTGCAATTATAGTACAGAATTTGTTATCTAAATGTGCTGCTATAGTAAAGAATTGGTTATCTAAACTTGCAATTATAGTACAGAATTGGTTATCTCAATGTGCAACTATAGTAAAGAAGTGGGTATCTAAACTTGCAACTATAGTACAGAATTGGATATCTAAACTTGCAACTAAAGTACAAAATTGGGTATCTAACCGTGCACATTTTTCTTTTTAAGTCCATGCAATGTGGCGTTGGTAGTCGTGTCTATCCATAATTTACTGTCACGTGTATGCTCAATCAACTCTGACACAGATGATCCTCGGTGTCATTTTGTCAGACTGTCAAGCATCTGTTCACTCGGTCTCCCTCTGCCTCTCCTCGCCTCCATCTTTCAGACTGTCACGATGTATTCCAGTTTTCTCCTTCTCATCACATGACACAAGAATGAAGATTGTCTCTTTCTGATGTGGGCAATCAGTTCTTTTTTGTGAGTCAGTTTCTTTCAAGGCGTCTTCATTACTCTTTTTATCTGTCCAGGGTATTCTGGATTCGCCTGTAAAATCAACGCTCTCATCGGTGAAAATTCAGACGAAGCAGATACAATAATCTATACAGACGGATCCGTTATACGCCAAAGAAGAAGCGCATGGGCATTTACAGCACGCTCAGCGGGCAGAACAGTCAAAGAAGCCAACGGCGCCTTCTCCATGACAACCAGCAGCATGACGATGGAGGTGATGGCAGTGACACAAGCGCTTGCCTGGTTTGAAACACAAAAATACACCCGCGTGTGTATACTCAGTGATTCAGTGAGTATGATCCGGAGGGTTCAGGCAGGTTCAGTGCGAAGACAATGGCTTGAATCATTACAGAAGTCCACTGTCCGTGGAGTCACCTTTATTTTTGTTCCGGGACACGCAGGCGTCGATGGAAATGAAAGAGCTGACAGGTTGGCTGGATCCGCTATCACTACCGACGGTCAGCCTATGGATCATGCTGATATTATCAATGCCCTCAGAGAAATGGTAAGGATAGACGACTTTGGTGGCAGTGAATCCACATCACTCGCCAGAATGGCAGACTTGGGAATTAAGATCGGAACAGCAAAAAACGAGACGCACACCAGCTACTCCAGAAGACTTGTTAATCAACATAGAACTGGTACTATTAGCCATCGGACGTTGGGGTTCATACTGAGGGGAGGATCTGAGCACCTATGGACATGTCCGGAGTGCAATGAGGATAACCCAACTAACTAACTAAATAACTAACTAACTAACTGTAAAACCACACCTCCACAGCTTCCAAAAAGGTTTTCACTAATTTACAAATTGTCCTTGATTTACTTATTCCGTATATCAGTATAGTATTTATAAAGCTTTTAAGAATTATCTCTCTCGTCTCATTTGACAAAGAGCGATTGTGCAAAATATTCCTTCTCTTTTAAAATGCTGCCATTGCTTGATCTATTCGACATTTGACTTCCTTAATACATCTTCCATCTGATTTTATCAGGGTACCCAGGTATTTAAACAAAGCAACTTTCTTGAGGTTTGTCCCATTTACTTTGATGTTGCATTTTAGACGGTCAGGTTTCTTTGTAATTTCCATTACTTCTGTTTTTTTCTGCTGTTCAAACTAAGACCCCTGTTTTCACTTTCCTTTACAATTATATCCATCATTTCTTGCAGCTGAGTTTCATTTTCGGCGATCAAAACTATATCGGCAGCATATCGCAGGTTGTTAACAATATCCATACCAACCGATGTTTCTGGCATATCTTGTATAGCTCTGCCCCCCAAAAAAGTGCAACTGTAGCACGCATTTGGTTATCTAAACGTACAACTATAGTGCAGAATTGGTCATCTAAATGTGCAACTATAATACAGTATTGGTTATCTAATCATGCAACTCTAGTACAGAACTGCTTATCTAGAAGTGCACCAATAGTTCGGATTTACTCATCTAATCGTGCAACTATACTGCAGAACTGGTTATTAAAATGTACAACTATAGTGCAGAATTGTTTATCTAAAGGTGCAACTATACTACATAATTCGTTATCTAAACATGCAACTATAGTACAGAATTGGTCATCTAAACGTGCATCTATAGTACAGAATTGGTCATCTAAACGTGCATCTATAGTACAGAATTCATTATCTAAACGTTTTACTGTAGTTTAGAATTAATTATCTAAACGTGCAACTTTAGTGAAGAATTGGTCATCTAAATGTGCAACTGTAGTACAGAACTAGTTATCTAAACTATTTTGTTTTTGTTGTTGTTCTTCGTTATTTATTAAATTTTTTAATAATTTTACCAACAACAGGGGAGGTAAACATCTTTTCACTGTTCCCCCATTTTGACTCCTTGGATTACCAGTTTGCCTGCCACCTGAGGTACGTTCCACCACAGAAACTGTACAGCGTCAGCTATACTATCAACATCCCCAGCGTCAACTTCAACACAACATCTCAACATTTCACTGTGGCCTCAAATTCCAGAGGAGAGCATGAGAGAAGAATATCACAGTAAGGAGGCTTCTAAATATTTTGATCCTATTTAACCCTACCAGACCTGAGGCCCTGAACCTAACTGCCCCTATACCTGAGCTCCTGGGCGTCAACACGAAAAACCAACATGATATACAAAAATATTAGTTACATGCAAACAAGTGGTTAGAATAAGATAACTTGGAGACATTGTAGAAAATAGGTTTATCTTTCATCTAGTGCCAGTATTTTACCTTTGTGTGCCATTCCACCCAGCAAGATGGGTCTTGTTTCACAAAGTGAGCCCCAGATGTTGCTGTTTGAGGGCCCGCCCCCCTTCTCTTAATGTCGATCTAGTTTAAATCTATAATTTTCATATTCTTCTTATCACTCGAGCTCACACTGACTGAGTCATTTCAACTAGGAACGTATTCTTCATGAAATTTTTACCCCTCAGAGTCTGAATCAACCAAAGTATCGATCACCTGTTGGACTTTGAAAAGCCTAGACCTACTTCACTTTCCTGTCAAAGTGCCTGAATCATATCCACTTATTTCATTGTGAATTTTCAAACTTTTTTCATGTTAAACCACACAAAGTATATCCAAACAAATGTGCGCAGCAATTCGCAATGACTAACCACGAGGTCTGACAACGATTGGCTAGTTATGTTTAGTTTGTGACGCATTGTTTTCATGTAGCGCGCAAAGTACCGACAATGAGGGACACCGGTTTAGAGAAACATCGGTCTGGTAGAGTTAACAATAGATACAACAAGCTTTATTTTTTCTCGTCATTTTGTACTAAGTACTAGCATCTTTATCGTGCCTCTGTTTTAGGTTCAGTTATGTCTGTGGCTCTGGCGTTGCGAGTGAGCTTCGTAATACTGGAGAACCAGGTTCGATCCTAGCTGCAGGCCTTGTGCCTTGCATTGGTTTCGACAGGGGTATCAAAAAACTGACCGCACAGAAGCAGTGGCAAACTACTGGATGTAAATTTGCCTATAAAAAACCACAACAGCCATAAAATGCAAGGGTTGGTTCTGCAATGTCCAGTAAAGGATGCGCAAATAACTAAGTGGGGAAAGGATTTCTCTAAATCAGCCAGCAGCTATAGTGTATTACATGAAAACAGCAGGCTACAAGGCAATAGGCTGACCAAGAAAAATATGGGTGGAGGGAGTAAAAGAGACAACATGCAGTTTAAAAACTGGCACAAACTACTCACGTAGCACAAGACTGGACATCTAACTCTTGTCTGCTTTGCTTTATGGTATAAGCTGTATGACCTACCCACGTAAGCACATACATGCATGCATGTACACACACATGCATGCACATACATGCATGCATTCCCCCACACATACACATTCAGACAAATGCACATTATTCCAGATTTCACACTTAAGTTAAACTAGTCACACAAATATGAAAACATATACAACATCATTCCTGTCTTTCTGTTGAACAATCTGACATGACATGATTGATACCTCTCCACAGTTTTGATTTTATAACAGCCCTGCATGACACCCGCATCAAAGTGCCGGAAGAGCTCATCCTAATTGGCAACCACAATGAGCTAAAGCATTACCACGCCCGGCTCATGCAGCCGTATGCCATCCGAGAACTCAAGACGGCCAGCGATTTGAAGAAAGAGAAGAGCAGCTCCAAGGGTAATACGTCAAGAGCTGCTTATGTACAGTTTGAGAAGCCTTTCTTGTTTAGTTCACGGTCTTGGTACAAGGATGGCTGTCGTAAAAATGTGTCTCAGGTAAAGTTGTTTGATTTATATTATCAGTTGTGAAATGCTGTATTTTTATTGTCAGTGGTCACTAGTTAGGTATGAAGTGAGTCACCATGGCAAAATGGTTAAGTCATTTACTTTATTGCTAAAATAGGCTCTGATGCCCCATTTGGAGGGGGATGAGTGGGGGCCCAATGGCCTTCTTAAAAAGCATGTTATAAAAGTAAACTAATTAGGCTTGATTCCTTTGACTGTAAAATTCCTCTGCCTGAGGGGTAATTTTAAAAAAAAGGAGAGATCCCTTTTCATGCCTAAGGCGCATCGGGCATATGGAAAAAGCACCCATATTTTTACAGACCAATCACCACTAAGTGGATAATGTGGTCAGCATTGTGCCCGCCGTCTTTATTTCCACAGGAAATTCATCCTGGTATCCACTTTAGGCTGGGTCAACCTTCGACATCCATTACCATGATAAAAATCCATACAGCCAGCAGTGGGTTTCGATCGCATTATGTTGGAGTTACGAGTCAAACTCGCAATGCCTTAACCATGGATACTGCATGCCTGAGAGGTAAGGAACCAATATTTTGCACACAAATAAGCCAGAAATGTAAAATGGATGTGCATGCAGAACTCAAGTTCTTGAACAAAACTAAAGTCTAGAAAAGGGGGGAAAAACAAAAAACTTCCTCTGGAGTTTAATGCTGGTGAATGCTAAGAAGAAGACGATAAACTGTCCACTGAGGGAATAGAACCATGGTAATCCTGAAAGATTGCATAGTAGAACTATCGCACTAACCTCTAAGCCACAGAGCCACACAACTATGCCAGTGTAGTGGGTAATGAACAGGCAGACAGATTGGCTGGATCTGCACCACTGTGTGGTGAATTGATACATGACATGGCAGATGTGGTCAAGGCCCTTTGGGAACTAGCAACATAATCAGTAGAGAAACGAAGATTATTATAGCCTGGAGATAATGAGGCACCTGGGTGTAAACAGAGGATCTGGCCGGCTCACTACACTCAGAGGAAAGGCAAGACAGACATATAACCAGATTGTGACCGGTACCATCAGTATTGGAACTCTGTGCTGGCTGCTGAAGATGAGGAAGGAGCACACATGGGAATGCCTTGAGTGCTGTGATGTCAATTTTTGACTCAACTCAACTCAACTCAATTGATCATTACTGTCTGGTAAGAGTGATGCAGGGAGGAATTACAAGGGGATCTGGCCTATTCAACGCTCTGAGGAAAGGCAAGACAGACACATAACCAGATTGTGACCGGTACCATCAGTATTAGAACTATGTGCTGGCTGCTGAAGATGAGGAAGGAGCACACATGGGAATGCCCTGAGTGCTTTGATGTCAATTCTTGACTCAACTCAACCCAACTCAGAACTGCACAAATAACCTTTGAACTCCATTAAAACATCTAGTGCTAGAGAGGATTGAATAGTCATTATTACTAATATCGGCTGAAGACCAGGCACCTTGTGAATTTATAACTAGCATGCCATGCAAACACATCATCCAGGATCTCTGTTCTTATCTGAGAAGACTAGATGTCTAGTGCACTACCCTAGAATGACAAGGGATATCCCTATCTTCTCGTTTTATGGAAATTCACTAAAGCTACTCCTTGAGTTGAAAGCCGCCTTTAAAATGGCTGAACCACTTAACCACAGGGATCCCCGTTTCTTCTTCTTCTGCTTTCTAATATTCACCAGTTGTAAACTGCAGTGGAAAGTTCTAGTCAATTGTCCACTTCTACACTTTGGTCTTGTTCCAAGGCTTGAGTTTTACGTGCACATCCATTTTACAGATCTGGTTTATGTTAGCAGACTGTTGGTTCCTCACCTCTCAGGCACTGCAGCTGAAGGAAACTTCCCTAATTAGACACTTTGTATGACATGCTTAGAAGGTAAGGAGTGGGTCTGTTCTCCCCCCCCCCCCTAAAGTGGAGTCCCAGAACCCACATTATTTGTTGATTATTTGTTGTTTAGATTTGTTAAGCTTTCCGCATAAATTTTCTTTTCTATAGGTCTTTTGCCTAGCGGAATAACAGACCCACTGCCATTTAACTAGCATGTGGTAAAAGGCAATTAATTAAAGATTTGCTGAAATTGGATGCGTTAGGCTGAAAAGTGCAGATACCCCAGCAACACAACATACCAGTTGTTGTTTTAAGGGCAAAGAAAGAATAAGAAGGAAGATATAACCTGACTAACAGTATTTCTATTGCTCTACAGATCTAGACAACTAGACAATAAATACAGATTGAAACATTCAACTGTTTCCGTTCCTCTACAGATCTGCCTCAACTAGACAATAAATACAGACTAAAACATTTAACTGTTTCTGTTGCTCTACAGATCTGCACCAACAAAACAATAAATACAGATTGTAACATTTAACTGTTTGTGTTGCTCTACAGATCTGCCCTAAACAGATAATAAAAACAGACTGTAACGAGCCTGATAGAGTTGGAGCCGAACAAGGCTCTCTTCAGCTCTCAGGAGTTCACCTACCAGCTCTACCACAGGGACCGGGCTCCATATGTGAAATTTTATGTTGAAAGTATGTCACATCTTGCTTTCTTTGTTCCTCCCCAGTTTGAGAACACAAGACAATAATATCAGATTATTGTGTAGGTTTACTTGTATCATTTACTGAGCATTTGTCCTATACTTATATCATTTTCTCAATAGTTATCTATACCTTTACCCTATTCTCAACTTGTGTTTCATACTTATATCATTTTTCTTAAAAGTTATCTATACCTATATCCAATTCTTAACTTGTGTCTCATATTTATATCATTTTTTTTAAACATGGGTATCATGCTTACATTATTTACTAAATATATAAAGTGGTAATGAAAGTCATCTACATGCTCATACTTGATGAAAAAGAGTGGTCATCAACATCTTGATGGACAACACACACACACATACACACACACATACATATTTACTAAATGTGCTAGCAAAAAAAAAAAAAAGGAAAAAAAAAAAAGAAGGGAAGATAATGAGGGAGATTGTGATTAGAACAAAAGTAATAGTTCCCCACTAAACAACATAAACAGAAAAGTAAAGAAAAGACAATGGTTTTTCTGCACAGAGATCCTAGAATATTTCACTCAGACCTAAACAATGAATATTTGTATCGTGAGTTACATGATGACAACCTAACTACATGGGTACATACACCTAGACGAACCACGGACTACAGATCCTAAATTAAATCAAGCAAATTAGTTATAATCACATTAAACAGTTGTTTATTTTACTTAACATAACATCAGCATGGTCCACATATAACATTAAAAACAACCAACGTACTCGACCAAAATCTAAAGTACTGACTATCTCCAGCTAACAAGTAAGGATGGTAATGATACCATACGCTCAGCGAGATTACCTCAACAGTGGCAAAAACCGAAACATATTTAACATGTGCGTTAAGCTTCAATATGCCAAGAAATCATTTATAGCGAAATTACTACATAAATATGAAATCTATAAAATATACTTCAACTTTTTTCGTGTTGTAGTCTCCACTCCTAAAGCGTAGTCACTATACAAGTCTAGAAATTTTATAAACTATAGTTTATGTTCTATTGTCCACTCCTACATGAAACCTCTACAGAAATATGGAGTATATTTAAAGTATACTTTTATCTCCTCACAGAGGGAAGATCAGTCCTGCAGCATCTGCAGGGAGCATCAGCAAAAGGCAAACTTGTGGCTGACAGTTTGTATACTACAGCAACTTGGCACCAGCAGATCTCAAAATGGAAGCTTCACTTCTCTGGTATATTTGCTTTTATGCAACTTCCTTCGGGGATATTTCTTTGTTTCTCAATAATTAAAAAAGGCTGGTAGTCTGTGTATGTGTGGGCTGGTCAGATACATTATGTAATAATTCTACCTGTCTATAGCAAACTTACCGTGCCCGACTACTTCCAAAAAATGACAAATTGCATTTCTGGTGATGATTGTTGGCTTTAACACCTCTAGTAACTGCCATATGCATTTACAGCGAGCTTCTGAATTGTGCCGGGATTAGTTGTTTGTTCACCAATTTTTCAAATGCAACAGTGAGGGACATTTTCCTTGATTTTCACTGGCACAGGAGTGGAGCAAATATTGGATGACCTGATTGCAGTGAAGTTGAAACCTCAACTAAGACTAAGAATAATTGAGATTTAACCCATTCAGTTCAAAGCAACGCATCAGAAGTTATTTTAAGTTTTGATTGAGTTAGAGTTAAGAACGTCTTCTTCTTCTTCGTTCACCGGCTGTGAATTCCGGCGGAAGGTTCCGGTTAATTATCCGTTTGAACTTTTGGCTTTTACCTGGACCTGAGTTTTGCGTGTACAACAGTTAGGAACTGATATCATAGCACTCAGGACATTCCCATAAGGCTCTTACAACATCAGGCTTGTCATGCATCAGTTTATCAGCAAGTGGTGCAGGACTAGCCAATCTGTCTGTTTTCTAGAACACAAGCATTACCTGGAGAAATTATCCAGAGGACACTAACTACGCAGGATCTCTGAAGCAAAGCCTGCCACTCTTCACGGAGCACCTGTCTCCACCTTTCCTAACTTACTCTGTGTGACATTTAAAATTTTCAATATTATTATCTAATTTTTTGCATTCATTGTGACACATTCAGATGTAATAATAATCGACACTGCTTCAACTTTACTGTAACTTGCAAACAATATTTGTAACTCTCAGACATAAATATTTATTAATAGCTACGCATTTTTAGAATTGAGCTAATTACAGTTGCTTGTTTTTGAAAAAGTTTAAATGTCTTCGTCTTCTTATTCTTATTCCTCTTCTTCTTCATTTCCTATTTTACAACTTCTGGTGTCAAGAAAAACTTTTTTTATTTTTAAAGTAGTTACAAGAATCAAAATGTCAGTTGAAAAAAAAAAAACAGAATTTACTTGCATTGTTTTCAACAAATTGTTTTATTGATTGTTTAATTGCAAAATGACAGAGATTATTATAAACTTATTTGAATAAACACCAAATAAAATTTAATGTACATTGAGATAAATGGAAATATATTTAGAAAGTGACACATAAAAATTTTAGATCTTTAATTTGTGTTTGATAGTAAAAGAATTCTGATATTATTGTTTTTTAGTTATTTCAAACTAGACTAATCATAGATTTAATTGAATAAACAATGAAGAAAAAAGTCCATATTAACAAGTCACAAATAATAACATTTGAAATAGTTTAATTGGTGTTTAATTTTATTTTAGACAAATGACGACAAAACCTAGACCAGCGGCTCTCAGCCATTTGGGTTGCAACCCTTTTTGGGGTAAAACATCCCTTTCACAGGGATCACTCTAGATCCTCAGAAAATACATATTCACTAAAGTTATGAAGTAGCAATAGAAATAATGTTATGCTTGGGGGTCACCACAATACGAGGAACTGTATTAAAGGGTCGCAGCATTATGAAGGTTGAGAAGCACTGCTATTGACACACAAAAAAAGAATAATGAAGATGTCTTGAAAGAGAACTAATTGCCCACACCAGGAGACAATCTACATTCCTTGATTATGTGATGAGAAAGAGAACGATTGCCCACACCAAGAGACAATCTACATTCCTTGATTATGTGATGAGAAAGAGAACGATGGCCACACCAGGAGACAATCTACATTCCTTGATAATATGATGAGAAAGAGAACTAATTGCCCACTCTGGGAGACAATCTACTTTCCTTGATTATGTGATGAGAAAGAGAACTAATTGCCCACACCAGGAGACAATCTACATTCCTTGATTATGTGATGAGAAAGAGAACTAATTGCCCACACCAGGAGACACTCTACATTCCTTGATTATGTGATGAGAAAGAGAACTAATTGTCCACTCCGGGAGACAATCTACATTCCTTGATTATGTGATGAGAAAGAGAACTAATTGTCCACTCCGGGAGACAATCTACATTCCTTGATTATGTGATGAGAAAGAGAACTAATTGCCCACACCAGGAGACAATCTACATTCCTTGATTATGTGATGAGAAAGAGAATGATTGCCAACACCAGGAGACAATCTACATTCCTTGATTATGTGATGAGAAAAAGAACTAATTGCCCACACCAGGAGACACTCTACATTCCTTGATTATGTGATGAGAAGGAGAAAACTGGAGGACATATTGATGGTGGGAAAGTTGGAGGAGAAAAGAGGCAGAAGAATACTGGAATACTGAGAGAGAAGATGCTGGACAGACTGACAACTTGGCATGCAAGATCATGTGTGTCATAGAGGTAATTGAAAAATCACGAGAAGGTTATGGATAGAAAAGACTACCAAAACCACACTAAATGGACTATGAGAAGAAGAAATGTTTTTTTTTTTAAAATTGTCAATATACTATTATCATTTATTAATTTTTTTTTTCCAGCTTCACAGGATGAGTGCCCTTCAATTATATCTATCAAGATCTTCACCCAGTTAATGTCCAGATGTGTGGGACATTTTGATCTTCTCATTAACTGTCCGCTCAACTTCTCAGTGACCTTTGACCTACCAGCAGTGACCAAAGACTTACCAGATATTTTTGTTTTACAAGTCAACGATTCAACTACCATACACAACATAGTGTTAACATTAATTTATCCAAGTTTGATTATGAAAGAAAACAGTTCACAATCTTCTGGGGAGCTTCAGTCAAAACAATCGTTAGCTAGCCGTACCAACAGTTTATTCAGCATATGGATACCCATCATTATGATTGTTATTGTTACCGTTATTCTACTTGTTATCAACTGCATCTCCTTAAAATATGTACAAAAAAATCTAAAGAGAACAGCATTTGCTGCAGCAAAAAATTCAGAAGGAGGGACATTGAAGCAACAAGAAGTTGATGTTCCTGAAACTCATACCTCAGGATTGACAACATGCCAGAATAAAAGTTTAATTTCCATATTTGTTATACTTTACACACTTTACTCTTTTATGTTTACGTTTAGTTTAGGATTTGGTGTAATTTATATGACTCAGTCTTCCATTTGGTCGGACACAGCAGGCCCTAAAAATCTAAGCAAGGAACTCTTACTCTTGGTTGACAAATCCTTGAATGAGATCACACAGTTTGAGCAACAAGAAAGAACAAGACTATATGCTTCCTTCAAAGAGAAGACTAAATCCTGCTTGCAGCATTTAAAAAGTGAAAGTAGGAAACATCTTTTGCGTTATCAGCATATAACAAAACAAAACATTGATGTGGTTTTTACCCAAAATGGAACACTGCACTACCTCACAAATGAAATTCAGAAACGTAATTTTTCAGTTTATTTGCGACATATTCTGGAGTTTGTCACAGAGTGCAACAAAACTTTGACATCAATTGTTGACAGGTTTCAGGCTAATTATTATTTGTTTATCCGAAATACTGTGCACAACGATTGGTTAAAAGTTCCTCGCCAGATTTTTCTACATCAGGATGGAGAAGACCCAGAAAGGAAATATTTGTCTTCTACCCAGGTTAAGCAGTTTGCAACATGGCTTGAGATTGATAAAGCTGAAGAATTGTTTGTGGTGTCGGAGAACGTCTTTGGCAGGTGAGAAAATAAGGTTTTATTGTTTATAGCTATTTATTTTCAAAAGATGTTCATAAAACAAGCCTGTGTATGTAATAAATGAGGTATGTTGTAGATCACAAAATAGGATGTTTAATTTGTAACTATGCATGTGTATATGTATGTATATATATATATATATATATATATATATATATATATATATATATATTGAGGAAAGGCTAGACAGACAACCAGACTGCTACTGGTGCTATTGGAATTGTAACTGTAATGGCTGCTGAAGATAGGGACAGAGGAATTATGGGAATGTGCTGAATGTTGGGGACTGGCTGAAGTCAGTATAACTATCTCTTTTCATGACATGCTGATAAAATAAAGAGTTGTTTGCAATGATGCAGAATGTCTTTGGCAGGTCACAGAAAAAACTTACAATTCTGTCAATTTCTGAATTTGCATCAGCATGGGTTTTCTATAACTGACAGGTTGACCCACCTAAAGTAATCACCTGGAGATGCCCTGGGAAGGAAAGGCGGTTGGTGGAATGTTGAACACATCACTCATTAAATGATAACTGGTCTATTGAATTAAATGATAGTAAAGTATAGATCCCTTTTCACGCCTTTAGATGCATCAAGTAAAAACACCAACATTTTTACAGACCAATTGTCACTAGGTGGGTAATATGGCCAGCATTATGCCACTTGGTCGACCTTTCACCCCATACCCCCTTATATTCTATAACTTCTTCTTTTTATGACATATTTATACAGATGATAAGGCCAGTTGTCCTCTATGACTCTTAAACATGGAGTACAGCTAAAACAGACAGTTTTATTTACAAACTTTAGAGAACAGAGTTTAATTATGAATCTTTGGACTTATCAAAGATGCAAACAGCCAAGAATGGAGGGTGAAGAGCAGCAACAAAATTCTGTTTAATGCACTACTAAATGCTGGCCTCATAGACTGCAATTTAGAAAGATTGCCAGATAAGAGAGAGACAAAAACTGCCTTCACAAATGAGTTAGATGGGAGCAAACCACAAGGCAAACCAAAAAGACAGAGAAGAGATAATACACATTTAGAATCACCAGTTGGTATGAGAAGGTTAGTCGGAGAGATGAAAGGAAGAGGGGAATATTTGCATTAACAAACCCACGAATGCTGAAAAAGTAAATCACTGATTACTTATTTGAGAATCGACATCATAGCACACCAGAGAGCAGAGCTATTCAAATTGCAACCCTCTGGCCCATTGTGGCCCACAGAGGCCTTGGAAGTGGCCCATGCATCATTGCCAGCTGTAGTGTATGAGTGTCTTTCTATGCCTGGCCTTGTGCCTTTGACCCATGACAATCCGCATTTTGAACATTTTGGCTCTAGAGTAAAAACATAGCTGATTGGCCCCGACACAGACACTCTGTCTCCTGCAACAAATGTCATAAAGGTGTAGATGCTAACTGTTCCCATACACACATCATTCTTATACTTTCATTTCTCCCCGTTTCCTGATCCATTTCACGTCCACACATTCTTGGATAATTTATTTCATGTAACCCTTCTCATCTATCAACATTCATTCATAAACGGGTTTCGTAATGTCTCCTTTGTCCAGTACAAGTGTTCCTGTAGCTATTGCTTTTGTAGACAAAAATATCTGCTTTTGTTTATAACGATGAAGAATCATTTGTAGTAGCAATCAATGTTTTCTGCAGGTCAGACAGTAAGATACTACATATGCTTGTAGTTATTTCTGTTAAGTTCTTTCTGTTCTTAAAGGTTTTGCAGCAGATACTTAAAGGGAGAAATAACCACTATGAAATTCCAGACATTCATGGCTATCAAGAAGGCTAAATCTAGTGTAAATGGTCATTGGGGAAGAAACTTAACATCGCTTGATGTACACATACTGGCATGGGGCCAGGAGTAAATGGTTATTGGTGAAGCCACTTAACACCGCTTGATGTACACATACTAGCATGTGGCTAAAAGTCTGGTAGTCTTAGTTTCAGCTTCATAGCAAACGGGTCACCCCATCTTTGCTCCGCTCCTGTGTCAACAAAAAACACACAGAATATTTATCATAGTTTCTTGTAGAAAGATTGACAGACTGCTTTCTCAGCATATCTAGCATACACTCGCATTTAAGCATACGGTAGCCATCCGAAGTGCTAACACAAACAGTCCAACATTAGAAATGCAGTTCATCATTGATGATAGTATAACTTGTCGCCAACAGTTCAGCAGCTGCCCACGCAATCAATTTTAATCACATACGGGCACCACAACACTGCACGACATCTCGTAGATTTTAACCTTAGACCTTTGGCTCGGCCGGCAAGCATCTAGACACTCTGCTACCATGGTTCCTTATCTTGCTTCTACTGCTTAATGGCTTTTTCACATTGTTGTTTCAGAACTGATTTATGAATATTCTTATTACACAGGTTAGCCAGTATTGCTGCCCCAGAAGTTTCTCTGCTTGATATGGACTTTCCGTCACTGCACCCACATCTGGAGTTGGGGCTTCAAGACACCCACACTGTGAATGACTCCTACATGTACATAGTTTTAGATCCACTTTTTCACACCACTGATGACTTTCCAAATGATACACTAACAAAAGACCATCCAGCTGTGACCAGTAGGACAAGAAGAGATTCAGAAACTTTTGAGCTGAGCAGAAGTTTGCGCCCGTCACATGACAACACATTGTCTTTGCAGAATTCTGAAGAACATAGTGAATTTGAAATTGAAAGCCAAATATCAAACCATGAATCTGAAATCCAAAGCGAAGCAAGCTATAAAACAAAACCACATATTCGTAATGATATAGATAAAAAGCCAGATGACTATCATGAATTTCTTGCAGATTTAGCAGATGTTCAGAAAGAAACATCAAATTCAGAAATGAAAGTTTATCATCCATCGCCAACTGAAGACAGTGCTCCAACAACAGTACCTCATTCTTCAACAGCAGGAGATAGTCATTTGTACATCCTGATTGCTGTGTTCCTCTCATTTGATTTTGTTCTGCTGGTTTATCGTGTCACCTGGCTGCGACGGCAACTGCATGCTGTTTGCAACGGGTTCCCAGAAAGAATCCCAATTGATGAAGCTTGTAAACAGCTGATGGTAATTCAAACCGACTGCCAGTATTCAAAATCTGAAGAACCTTCTAGAAACTATCTTACTGGAACCACTATGGCTTACCAGCCAGACAAAGAAATGGATGTGGCATTTTTTAAACATTTAGCAATGGCAGAATCTAATGACAATGCTTTTCAGAGAATTTGGAATGAGAAGATGAGTAAAACTGAACATCAGGTAGGGAAAGAAAAGAAAACATGCTTTCTTCCACAACGATATGGACACATGTGGAGAGTGTTACACCAAGTTTTACAGTCACATCTTGTATGGCAGGTAATGTACTTTATTATCATCACTCATTGCTCCAAACCTAGCTTATCAATCATGACATTCAAAATGCAGTGAGATAAATAAACACAATATTAGAAAGTTGCACACAAAATATTGACTTGGTAACGTGGTAATCTTAGTTTCAGCTTCGTAGCAAATGGGTCACATGTTATTTTAGGTAATGTTTGTTGTATGTTATCTTCGGTTACACAGGAGATTGACCACTGATAGTACTGATAGATGTACAAAGACGAATGCAAGAATGATACTACATAAATGATACTGGTATAAAGGAAGAAATGATTGCAGAAAAGATGAGCGTCTGAGAAAAAAACAGACTAAACAGAAATGTTGACAACAATGGTCCTGAAATCTCATGCTATCATTGTGAAAGACTTTTCTTGACACGGGTGGGTCTTGCTAGTCACACTAGCCATCACCATGGGCTGTGAGTCTCATGCCTCCTCCTAGCTAGAAAGACTGAAAGGTGCCGAAACAGATGTACATAGAAGGCAATCATGGATGAAGAATGTGTTGAAACTTTAAGTAATAATTTATTTGTCAGTTAAAATGAGTTGGGAACTGACATCAAAGCACTCAGTACATTCCCATAAGAACACTGCACCCATCTTCAGCAGTCAGTGCAGAGTTCCTATACAAGTGATACTGTTTGCAGTATAATTATAGGTCTGTTTTCTGAGTGTTGGCCCCCTGGTCACTGCTCACAGCATCACTCTCTCCAGACCTGACTGATCTGTTCACTCCAGCAATCTATGTTTGCCAATCTTCTACATTTGTATATAGATAAAGAATGTTAACTCTTTCATTTTCTGTTGTTTTATTTTTTTTTTTATATTTGTTTGTCTCCCATTGTGTATATATTTATATAGCTAGGTTTTTTTTTTTACCTTATGTGTTATATTATCTATATATAGCTAAAATTGTGTGTAGATAGCTAAATATTTTATACCTTCTATTTTGTATTATCTTTATATATGTAATATAGTTTATAAATAGCTACACTATATTTAAATATACTTAGTTAAACATGTTTACCTTCCATTTTGTATCTTTGTATATAGCTAAAATATTTTCAACCTTCTATTTTTGATATTTGTATTCAGCATCATCTGCATCATGTCCCATGTCAATAAGCTCAGGGGATCATTACCTGCCATCCAAAATTATCCCTGAAGTTTCAAATCAGGCCTGTATTCTTGCCCCTAAGATGCCAGTTTGCCAAGCTACCAGATATGTGTCTCTTTGACTTCTCCTATCTCTTACCCTATCAAATGCCATATACTTATCTCGAATAACCAGAACTTTCCACCAGTTTTCAGAGGCTGAATGCTAAGAAGAAAAGTAAGCATGGCCAAGCACATCTGTCGTCTCTTAGTTTTATCTTTGATTCTATTATCTTATTAATTATCTATTGAAAGACTATAGTTTATTCCTAGTGGTAACATAAAGGCCTATAAGGTTTCATTTTTGTGTGTGGTAATGTCTGTTTTATCTCTTGCTATATATATATATATATATATATATATATATATATATATATATATATATATATATATATATATATATATATATATATATATATATATATATATATAAATACAGAACGCTCAATTCATACTAGGGCTGTACCGAGTAGGGATTTTTACTATTTGGCCGAATACGAATAGCAAGACCAACTATTCGGCCGAAAACGAATACGAATATGAATAGTGTATAATCATCATCAGGTATCTTGCCGACTGGCGTGGGCCTTGCCACAATCTGCGATTTCCTGCAGCGTGTATTAGTTTGTGTGCTGACACACCTCCGTGCCATACAAGACTGTCAAGAATCTTCTCTCGTTGTCTTCCTCTATCCCTCCTTCCATGGATCTTTCCAGTGGTCACCACATGTTCCATTTTCCATCTTCTTATAACATGGCTGAAAAATAATGTCTTCTTCTGATGTCTGTGATAAGTTGTCTTCAGGCTCCTGCCTTTTTCAAACCCTCTTGGTTGTTTTTTTTTGCTGTCCAAGGTATTTTAAGCATTCTTCAGCAAAATCACATCTCTGAGACCTCAAGAAATTGTTTGGCCTGCCTACCGATTGTCCAGGACTCACAGCCATATGTTAAACCTGGATGCTGTACCACGCAACCGGGTCGCGGTTGCCCCTGCTACGAGAGACTTAGGCAACAGCAACTATTGTGTTAATGAGAGAGTTATTTCAGTCTATCACAGTGTATGCAGAAACGGGTGTAAGGTAATCACTATTCGTATTCAGTCCGACAGCAAGTATTCAGCCGAATACAGAGTAGTTATTAGGTCCACTATTCGGCCCTGAAGCGAATACGAAGCGAATATTCGGTACAGCCCTACTTCATACCACACATTTTAATTCCATGCACACTTACCAACACCTGCAAATAGGAATTTACATACTGTACTCTAAAACACTGTCACTTATGCAAATACAAAATGTTGAATTTTTCCTTGTTTTTCCCCCAGGGATCTGTTACCTTTTTTGTTATTGTGTGTGTGTGTGTTCTCATATATTGTGTCGAGTTTTGCTTGACACCTGACAACTTCAAGACTCTAGTTGGAGGGCAGTCGGCCGTGGCCGATGTCCAGTGGCATATGGACACCAGCAATCAGTATTTGAAGAGTCTGGCCATGCAACTAACAGCCCAGCTGCAGCGATTCAAACATCTGTGTGATTATGAAGTTGCTGTTTTGACTGAGGTTTATTTTACAACTGTTAATATGCAGGTAGGATATCATGGTTCTTTCCTGTTATTGTTATGAAAACAGGCGTGCCTGCAATCCAGCTAATACCATTTAATCTAATAAACTGTGACTAAAAAGGTTAATGAAAGGGGAAAGGAAAACAATGTGTAAAAAAGGGGGAGGGGGGGGGGGAGACCCAGACAAATTGACCTTACTGCTGGAGACTTTCTCAATATGAACTATACAATAGTACCAAAGGATGAAGTACTCCAACCACCAATGCCATATCTGTCATTGTTATATACATCATTTCTTTTTTTTTTCTTTGCTATTAAAGGGGCTGTTTACAGCTAGGCTGCAATGTTTGCGCTTTTCGGCCTAACACATTAAATTTCAGCAAATCAATCAGTTAGTCACATATTACGACATGGTTGTTAGAGGCAGTGGGTGTACAGTATTATTTTTTATTCCCAAAAACTTGGAGCCCTGAACCCTAACTGGGATGTAAAAGAAGCATTAGAGAGTGCAGACTGCACCTATAGGGAGGCAGGGGTGATAAAATGGACACAATTATGTGTTTTCAGACCGCACCTGTAGGGAGGGAGAGGTGATAAAATGGACACAATTATGTGTTTTCAGACCGCACCTGTAGGGAGGCAGGGGTGATAAAATGGACACAATTATGTGTTTTCAGACCGCACCTGTAGGGAGGGAGGGGTGATAAAATGGACAAAATTATGTGTTTTCAGACCGCACCTATAGGGAGGGAGGGGTGATAAAATGGACAAAATTATGTGTTTTCAGACCGCACCTGTAGGGAGGCAGGGGTGATCAAATGGACAAAATTATGTGTTTTCAGACCGCACCTATAGGGAGGGAGGGGTGATAAAATGGACAAAATTATGTGTTTTCAGACCGCACCTGTAGGGAGGCAGGGGTGATCAAATGGACAAAATTATGTGTTTTCAGACCGCACCTGTAGGGAGGCAGGGGTGATCAAATGGACTCAATTATGTGTTTTCAGACCGCACCTGTAGGGAGGGAGGGGTGATAAAATGGACACAATTATGTGTTTTCAGACCGCACCTATAGGGAGGGAGGGGTGATAAAATGGACACAATTATGTGTTTTCAGACCGCACCTATAGGGAGGGAGGGGTGATAAAATGGACTCAATTATGTGTTTTCAGACCGCATCTATAGGGAGGCAGGGGTGATAAAATGGACACAATTATGTGTTTTCAGACCGCACCTATAGGGAGGCAGGGGTGATCAAATGGACACAATTATGTGTTTTCAGACCGCACCTATAGGGAGGCAGGGGTGATAAAATGGACACAATTATGTGTTTTCAGACCGCACCTATAGGGAGGCAGGGGTGATCAAATGGACACAATTATGTGTTTTCAGACCGCACCTATAGGGAGGCAGGGGTGATAAAATGGACACAATTATGTGTTTTTAACGTTAAAATATTTGTTTGAGTGTGCTGGGTGTGTTTGTATATATTATGGGAGTGCATTGCCACTGTGTATAGTATTTGACATAAACAGGAACATTTATTCTTTATGCCCTTGCTGTGTAAAGTATTTGACAGTAAATGTGAACAAACATTTCTTCTTTTTTTCTATCCTTCTTATGTAGACAGTACTTGACAGTAAGCAGGAATGCTATTATTTCTTTCATGCCGGTCACCTTTACTTCCCAAAACATTACCTGGTACCCATTTTAGGCTTTGTCAACCTGGGAGCGAAGATAAATTTGGAAACAAATTCAGACTCGATTGTGGATTTTGAATTCAAGACCTTTGTGTCAGCTGACAAGTATCTAGCTAAAGACTAAATAATTCACTGATGTACTGAATTAGGCTGCGTCCCAAAGTTTATCGCTCGCAGTTTTTTTGTTGTTGTTGTTTTAAAGCCCCACCCTGGCTGTTACATGGACCCTAATATAACCGAACCAGTGGGTTGAACAAGGTTTCTGGGACCTGTCCCCAAGTGATCCTCATCCGAATGTTGACAGTTTGTGTCATCGGGTGTTTGTTGCTCAGTGTGATGTCCTTGTGAGGTTGAACGTCAACATCATCGTTATTGACTGATCCACTTTCTGTCTACTGTGTGTGGTGAGATATTGTGAGTGTGTATCAAGCAGCATATGATGTTTTGTTGTATCATTTGTATTTGGTCTGAGCAAACCCAAAAAGTCTGGCTAAATATGTCTATATAACAAGCAGCTAATGTTATGCCTAGAAGAAATGTGATACATGCATGCATGTTTTCATCGGTTGTACTGTGATTCTATACTGTCTGAGCAGACCACCCCTCCACCCCAAACAAAAACTGCATACATGTGTCTTCTTCTTTTTTGCATTTACCGGCTGTAACTTCGGTAAAAAGTTCTGCTTGTTCATCTACCTCTGGACTTTAGACGTATTCCAGAATCTTAGTGTTGCATGCACATCTGTTTTACAGATATGATTTATTTTTATGCAGACTGTTGGTTTCTTGCCTCTCAGGCAGAGGCACTCTGACTTCGAAGGAAACCCCCAGTTAGTCGACTCTTAAGACATGCTTGCTGCTTGTTTGGGAGGCAGTGGATCTATTCTTGTTTTTCCTACAATGGGGCCACGGAACCCACATGGAGAGATACATGTTTGAATATGCTGAAATGTATATTTTATGTCTTTGAAGGGGATATATCCAAGTATTTTTCATAGCTGGTATTACTACCTTCATTTGGTTTTGTTGCTTATAGATTAGTGAACGCATTTAACAGTTTCATAGTTCTCGAGTACCAGGATCAATTTCCACGGTCATTGCTTCTTTGGTTTTAGGACAGTGGTGGGAGAATCATGCTATGGAAAAGATTAGAACCTCACTATGGGGTATTCCCATGCATGAACAAAGCTAAAGCTGCTTTTGGAAGGATGAGGCAAATCTGGAAATCCAACAGTAACTGCAGAGAAACGAAACTTTAACTCTACAATAGCATAATTTTTTCAGTTTTTCTTTATGGAGCGGAATGCTGGAGAATGACTGAAAGGGATGCACACAAGCTATCCACGTTCCACCACACATGTCTACGTAAAATTGTCAAAAATGTTCTGGTCAGATACAATCTCAAACACTAAACTACTTCAAGTCACAAACCAAGAAACTCTAAACAGTATGATAACCAAGAGAAGATGGAAATGGCTTGGCCACGTTATGAGAATGAATCCTGATATACCTGCTAAAACAGCTCTCACTTGGACACCAATGGAAAAGAGAAAAAAGGGGTTCCCAAAAACAACATGGAGACGAACAATGGAGAGTGACCAGAATGCGCCATCTCTGATATGGAAAACTGCACTGAAAATTGCACCCGACAGGAGACCATGAAAAGTCCTTTCTGAATGGCTGGAATGAATGGCTTTCTACCCCACCAGGACATCACACAAGCGATAAACACCCGATGACACAAAGTGCCACCATGCGGATGAGGGTCGCCGTGGAGAGGTCCCAGAAACCGCGTTCAGACATTTGGCCATATTTATGGCCTGCCTATATTGCGGCCCCTGGCAAAAGCCAGAGTGGGGCTTCAAATAACGAAAAATTACGTCCTAAAAAGGACGTATGAATACTTTCCTTTCTGAAGCCTTATGTGCCACTAGACATAAAGAGAATTGATGATGACTGATGTATTCCCAAACACAGCAATTGGCGTTTTGTAGTCTGCCTTCATTGTGGAAAGGCATATAATTTTTTTTTTTTAAAGTTATAGTTCATGCTGAATAATAAATATATGACTGCCCATACGTTGTCTGCTACAGTTATTCCTTTGATTTCCAGACATCAGTGTTTGCAGACGTCTTGCACAAACTGTGTCAGCAAATCAAGGACAAGAACTGTGATAAGCTACTAGCCAGTCATTTAACAGGGGAGAGAATTGTTGGCTGTAACTTTTTACCTCTGTATGCTCAGGCGTTTCCCGGTATGCTGACATAAATGTTATCAACTTTTCGAATAATTTATTACTGTCTGTTAGCATGTTATCTCCGCAGATGTATGTTGACGTCGTTATTATCAGTTTTAAATAATTTATTACTGCCTCACAATAGGTCCCACTAATCTTACATTATTATATACAATTGGACACTGAATAGATAGGGCCTAATGTTATATATATATATATATCCACTTTTGTCCTTTTTAGGACGAACTTTTTTGTTATTTAAAGCCCCACTCTGGCTTTTGCCAGGGGCCGCAATATAGGCAGGACATAAATATGGCCAATTGTCTGAACGCGGTTTCTGGGACCTCTCCACGGCGATCCTCATCCGCATGGTGGCACTTTGTGTCATCGGGTGTTTATCGCTTGTCTCTGTCCTGGTGGGGTAGAAATTAATTCATTCAATTAGTCTTTATAAGTTCATGAAGCTCCACCCTGGCTTTTGCCAGGGGCCGCAATATAGGCAGGCCATAAATATGGCCAGCTGTCTGAACGCGGTTTCTGGGACCTCTCCACAGCGATCCTCATCCGCATGGTGATACTTTGTGTCATCGGGTGTTTATCGCTTGTGTGACGTCCTAGTGGGGTAGAAAGTCAGTCAGTTAGTCTTTATCACCGTCCCTATTTCAGACGAATTTTTCAGTATTTTGAAGCCCCACCATGGCTGCTGCCAGTAGCCCTAATATTAAGGGTTGAATGGGATTTCTGGGACCTTTCACGGGTGATCCTTATCCGAATAGTGGCAGTTTGTGTCACCGGGTGTTTATAGCTGTGTGATGTCCTGGTGGGGTTTAAAAAAAAGTCAGTCATGTGAATGGGATCAATGTCATATCAGCGTAGGCCCTGGAACCTTAAATACCTTGATCCCCCACCCCCCATCATTTTATAAGAAGACTAAGACGCCCCCTATAACCTTCCTTAGAAATTTGCTTTGGAAGTGATTGTTGGTGAGACTACTCAAGGACATCAGACATTCAAGCTCACCTTCAGACATATAAATGGTTTATCCACATATCAGACCTACCACCAGACAGTGCTCTCTCTCTCTCTCACACATATTCACACATACATACACACACATGCACTCACACACACACACATGCACACACAAATATCATAGGAAGTATAAGGACTTCTTTTTCTTCTTCTCTTTCACCTCGCACCTCATCGAAGTGTTGGGGGGGGGGGGGGGGGGGTGTAACACTCGTTGGTGAGCTCTGTCAAGAGCACTATTGAGACTGATGTTGATTTCTGTAAGGCTGTTCTTAATGCCATCACTCCATATTTTCTGAGGTCTTCTGCTTGCTCCATACCCATTGTAAAGTTTTAGTGTGGCTCACTGTGGCAGACAGTACCAGGGCATTCTTGTTAGGTGTCCAAACCACTTCATTTGTTGGTCTTTGATGACCTGTAAGACTGGCTTCCTAGCATTCGTTTGATTTCACAAGTAAAAAGACTACAGGAAGGAACCAATGCATTTAAGTTCACACCACAACTTAATCCATAAATCTGTTCATATACGGATACTTCAAGACAAAAAGGAAAAAAAGAAGAAACCAAGAATTTAATAGTTTGGTGCCTTTCAGTTTAAAAAATTTTTTTTTATATAAAATAGACATGTATTGATCTGCACTCATAGAAAGAAGTGGAAATATTAAATTCAGTTAAATTAAATTTATTTTTGCCTTTCAGTAAATGTGATCTCAGCTGTAAGATTTAACATTACACAAACAGTAGAGAATGGAGAGTGAGAAGCAACAATGAAATTCATAATCTGTTCAAGTCATCTCTAGTTGCTGGCGTCTTAAGGACTAATAGACTATGTTTGTTGGGGTACATAGAGAAAATGGCAGACAGAATTTGACATTATGTCTATCACATTTTCTCAGTGGGAAGATGTGATTATGTGTTTTGTTTGTCTGTTGCCACCTTTCCCTCTTTCCAGAAAATAGTGTAATACTGTGCTAGAGAAAAGTAGGGACTCACAGCCCATGGTGATGGTGAGTGTGACTAGCAAGACCTGCTCATGTTAGGAAATGTCTTCCATAATTAGTGCATGGGATCTCAGGAACATTGTTGCTATTGAATGTATTTAACGTGTTTCTTCTCATACGCTTAGCTCTTAACCTGTCTCCTGTAATCATCTTCTTTATTCATATTCCTTCCTGATTGTCACCTCTCCACACAATGCAGTTCCTGATTAGTATTTTGGCTCATTGAGTCCCAAGTAATGCACCAGATGGGACCAGCTATTGCCCTTTTATATAAAGCAAACCATCTTGTATTATCTCTTTAATGTTCAATCTGAGAATAGTATTTGAATCTGGCTAGATGTTTTAACATATTACATAATATATGTTGCCCTTTTGAAAGTATTACATATAAAGCATAACATATGTTGCCTCTTTTGAAAGTATTACATATAATGCATAATATATGTTGCCCTTTTGAAAGTATTACATATAATGCGTAGTATATGTTGCCCTTTTGAAAGTATTACATATAATGCCCTTTTGAAAGTATTACATATAATGCATAATATATGTTGCCCTTTTGAAAGTATTACATATAATGCATAATATGTGTTGCCCTTTTGAAAGTATTTCATATAATGCATAATATATGTTGCCCTTTTGAAAGTATTACATATAATGCATAATATATGTTTCCCTTTTGAAAGTATTACATATAATGCATAATATATGTTGCCCTTTTGAAAGTATTACATATAATGCATAATATATGTTGCCCTTTTGAAATTATTACATATAAGGCATAATATATGTTTCCCTTTTTAAAAGTATTACTCATGCTTTTTCTATTATGGTTATTGTAGCCATTTAACATCTACTAGGAAATTGTCTGGGAGTAAAAAAAAGTTAGTTAACAGTCTTTAATACTTTGATTTGCAGATCCGAGCTTCTCCCAGATGGATGCCGTAGTGTTAGGAAAACTGACACCCTTGAGGAATCTGTCTCATCAACTGCTGCTGATCACAACCTCTGTAATTGTCTTGTTTATTTGCTGCCGACTCGTCTGCCAGACCACGGCTACCACAATCAAGCAGTACCTTCTGCAGACAGGGTGCCTGCGGCGGGTTACAGTGTACCAGTCAGAAAAAGTATGCATTTCTGCAACTGGTCGGAACAGCACAATGATGCAGAGAAGTCAGTCATGGGTGGACAGTTGTGAAAGTGGGGTCTACCTGGGTGAAACAGAAGATACTAACAAAGAAGATACCAGCTAGCAAAGTATTGTAGCTACAGCTGTTGTTTTTGGTTGGTACTTGGGGGAACAAGGTTGGCCGATTGCAGTGTTTAGGGGTGTCAGATTGTAAGGTTTGAGGCAGGCTGCAGAGGTTTAGTTGAGTGTGGCAGGTTGTAATTTTGTAACATTTAGGGTAAGCTGCAGAGGTTTAGTTTCCTGTAACATGTTGTAACGTTTAAGATTAGCTACAGAAGTTAAGTTTAGTGTAGCAGGTTTTAGTATTTAAGGTTAGCTGAAGAGGGTTAGATTAGTGCGGCAGGCTGTAATGTTTAGAGTAAGTTGCAGAGGTTTAGTTTTATGTGGTAGGTTGTAATGCTTAGGACTAGCTGCAGAGGTTTAGTTTTGTGTGTCAGGTTGTAATGTTTAGGGTAAGTTGCAGAGGTTTATTTTTATGTGGTAGTTTGTAATAGTTAAGATTAGTTGCAGAAGTTTAGTTTAGTGTGGCAGACTGTAATATTTATAGTAAGCTGCAGAAGTTTAGTTTGGTGTGGTAGGTGGTTATATTTAGGGTAAGCTGCAGAGGTTTAGTTTGGTGTGGCAGGTGGTTATATTTAGGGTAAGCTGCAGAAGTTTAGTTTGGTATGGTAGGCGGTTATATTAGGGTAAGCTGCAGAAGTTTAGTTTGGTGTGGCAGGTGGTTATATTCAGGGTAAGCTGCAGAGGTTTAGTTCACTGTGGCATGTTGTAATGTTTAGGGTAAGCTCAGAGTTAACGTTTTTTGAGTCAAGTTGTAATGTTTAATGTAAGCTGCCGAGGTTTATTTTTATGTGGCAGGTTGTCATGTTTAGGATAAGCTGCAGAGGTTTAGTTTAGTGTGATATGTTGTAATGTTTAAAATTAGCTGCACAAGTTTAGTTTAGTGTGCCAGGTTATAGTATTTAGGGTAAGCTGCAGAGGATAAGATTTGTATGGCAGGTTGTAATATTTATGGCAAGCTGCAGAAGTTTAGTTTATTGTGGCAGGTTGTAATGTTTAGGGTAAGTTGCAGAAGTTTAGTTTTATGTTAGTTTGTAAGGATCAAGATTAGCTGCAGAAGTTTAGTTTAGTGTGTCAGGTTGTTATGTTAAGGGTAAGCTGCAGAGGTTTAATTGTATGTGTTAGTTTGTAATGCTTGAGATTAGCTGCAGAAGTTTAGTTTAGTGTGTCAGTTTGTAATATTTAGTGTCAGCTGCAAAAGTTTAGTTCAGTGTAGCAGGTTGTAGTATAAAAATTTAGACAAAATTATGTAAATTTTAGAATCTATGCGTTTTTGTTTGTTGAATAGTGAAGGTAAAAGTCTGCAGAGTCGGCACAGACTCAATACTGAAACTTATCAGCAGACAAAAGATCAAATGGTTTGGTCATGTAACAGAATTGGTAACAAACAGGACGCCACAGAGAGAAATGTTATACAGATACAGCCATAACAAAACCAGAAGTCGACCATGCAGAAGATAGACCGTGGAAATATTGTAGACATTAAAGAGTATTATGTATAAATTGAATAGAAGGGCACCCTCTAGAGACCTTTGCTGGCCCTGAAGTTGCCCAGGAATTTCAGGAGTAGAGAAAAGAAGATGATATATGTGATACTGGATAGTGCTGATGTTGATTGTAATAATGTGATCATTTTAGAAATAACTTAAGTTTTGTACTTGTGGTGGAGAAATATTGGCAGCCCACCTGTCTCGCTCACTCTCTGTCACTGACTCTATCTATGTATCTATATATTCGATAGATCTATCTATCTTATTGTTTATCTATCTGTCTATCTAATCTGTCTGCTGTCTGTTTATCTCTCTGCCTGTTTGCATTCCTGCCTGCCTGCCTATCTGTCTATTTATCCAATTTGTCTGTCTGACTGTCTCTCTATTTCTCTTCCTCTCTCTTTCTTCTTGTGTGTTACAGACATACTACTATCATTGTTTATAAGCAATCATATCTACACAGTCCTTGAAAAACATAAATGCATAATTACAAGATGTGAGATGAGATGTATGAGAAAGGCGGTGGAAGAAAATCAAGAAGAGGCAGAATCACCAAGGAAGAACTAAGAACAATGGTAGGGGCATTACTGGTAAATTATTTCATAGAACAGAATGAAATGGTTACATCATCTGGGCAGAATGCAACAAAATCAGCCAGCAGCTAGAGTATTTCCTACACGAGAACAGCAGGCTACAAGACAAGAGGTAGATCAAGAAAGCGATGGCTGGAGGGAGTAAAATAGACACTAAAGAATACAGTATAGCATTAACACAAGCAACACAACTAGCAAAAGACAGGATACTACAGACTTATCTTTGCCACACTGTATGGCTTTAGCAGTAAGATGAAAAATTGAGAATAGACGATGTTTCTATCATGGACACTTAACAGATTAGTGAGTAATTGTGTGTGTGTGTGCTAACTCCTCTATGTGAAGTTTTACGACATAAACAGAAGGACAAAATAAGAAGATTTGTACACGCATATCTAAAGTGGCAAGCTTCACTGGAAAGGTCGCAGGTAGTCGAGCATATTTTGGATCTTTCCTCCAGGCGTGGTGGGTAATGAACAGACAGATTGGCTGAATCTGCACTACTGGGTGGTGAATTAATAAATGACAAGGCAGATGTGGTCACGGCCCTTTGGGAACAAGCAACGGAATCAGTAGAGAAACAAGATTACTATGGCCTGGAGAGAATGAGGCACCTGGGTGTAAACAGAGTTCAGGCCGGCTCACTACACTCATAGGAAAGGCTAGACGGACATATAGCCAGATTGTGACTGGTACCATAAGTATTGGAACTCTGCGCTGGCGTCTGAAGATAAGGACGGAGCATGCATGGGAATGCCCCGAGTGCTGTGATGTCAACTCTTGACTCAACTCAACCCAACTCAACGTATTTCCAAGAACCACCTGCATCCAGAATGAACTCTCCAGGAATATTATGATCATCCCCTTTGCTTGGTTCACACTTGGAGAAACTTTGCTCAGTGGAGAAACTCCAGCGCTCGATATGTGATTTAGGTGATATCATACTGGCTGCCTTTATTTCTCCATTCATTTCCTGATATCCATTTAAGTCTCTGACCACTTTTTGGAGTTCTAGGTCAATTATACAAGTTTGCGTATTTGAACAGTCTTTCCATGAAATCTTCAGACCCATCAAAGTTGCAAAAAAAAAGAAGGAATATGGAAAAGGAGAAGAAACAGTTAAATTCTTCTTCTTCTTCTTTTTCAGCATTCTGCGCCCTTGAGGTTCATTGCTGCAGATATCACCCGCCTCCATTTATCTCTCTTGTTGGCCTTCTGCTTCCAGTTTGTGACACCAAGTGTTTGCAGATCTGTCTGGACATTATCTCTCCATCGTCCTCTTGGTCGGCCTTGTGGTCTACGACCATTTATCTCCCTTGTGCATACAGTTTTTTATTTCTCTGTCATTCGGCATTCTTTCACTATGCCCAAACCATTTCAGTCTAAAAGCTCTCATGATGCAAGTGATCAAAGGTGATTTAAACAGATTATGAATTTCGTTCATGCTTCTCAGCCTCCATTTCCGCTACTTTTTTTATCTGTTTGGTGATGACATAAAGTTTTACGAAGGTGGGGGAGTGAAAATCCTTGTCTGTTTAAAACATCATTAATCACTGGTATCTTGACTGCTAATAGACTAATTGTTGGGACATAAAGAGCGAATGAGGGGGAAACTGTGGACACAAAGGAGTTGAATGGCCATGGCGCACAAGGAAGACTAGGAAGAGGGTGGTGAAGGGTTATCAAAGAAGACGCTTGGAGTCACCGACTGGAAACAAGAGATCAGTCACAAAGATGATTAGAGGCTCAACGGCTTAGAATGCTGCCGAAATCAAGCAAGAAAAAGAAATAAAGAAAGAAAGAAAGAAAGAAAGAAAGAAAGAAAGAAAGAAAGAAAGAAAGAAAGAAAGAAAGAAAGAAAGAAAAAAGAAAGAAAGAAAGAAAGAAAGAAAGAAAGAAAGAAAGAAAGAAAGAAAGAAAAGAAAGAAAGAAAGAAAGAAAGAAAGAAAGAAAGAAAGAAAGAAAGAAAGAAAGAAAGAAAGAAAGAAAGAAAGAAAGAAAGAAAGAAAGAAAGAAAGAAAGAAAGAAAGAAAGAAAGAAAAAGAAAGAAAGAAAGAAAGAAAGAAAGAAAGAAAGAAAGAAAGAAAGAAAGAAAGAAAGAAAGAAAGAAAGAAAGAAAGAAAGAAAGAAAGAAAGAAAGAAAGAAAGAGAAAATAAGGAAGGAGGAAGAAAAGAAGGAAGGAGGACAAAGAAGAATAAGAATATATGAACCCAAGACATTTGACCCACACAAGGTAATGGTCTGTAGAGAATTAGACATGTAAATACAGAATTTAGTGACAAAATTTGTCACATTGACATGAAACTTGAGATGTTTGCATTTCTCAATGATGCATGTCTTCAAGAATACACTTCTATTGTCAGTATGGTTTTTCTTTGTTTTTTAGTGATTTAAATGTAAATGTTTTTCACAGTATCACTTTTAAATAGTTTCCTGTGTATCAGTGTCTCTTTCCTTCCTTTTTCCTTGAGTGGCAGCGTTTTTATTGTTTTATCATTACAGTTGTTTTTATTCCTTTCTGATTTTCACTGTTTGATAGTTTTTCTGAGTATCACTGTTTTTATATTTCCTTAGTATCACAATTTGCCTTTAGGTAAATGTTGTTAAATTATACATACATACATACATACATACATACATACATACATACATACATACATACATACATACATACATACATACATACATACATACATACATACATACATACATCACATCACATCACATCACATCACATCACATCACATCACATCACATCACATCACATCACATCACATCACATCACATCACATCACATCACATCACAGCACAGCACAGCACAGCACAGCACAGCACAGCACAGCACAGCACAGCACAACACAACATAACATAACATAACATAAACAACATTACATTACATTACATTTCATTACATTTCATT